GTGTTACCTGCATAACGCAGATTGTTAATAGATCTTCCACCAATCCTGATGCCACAATTCTTCCCATAGAGCCCAGCCTCCTGGATAATCTGCTCTGCATACATGTTGAAAAAGTGTGGGGACAGGACACATCCCTGGAGTACACCCTTCCCAATTTTGAAACATGCAGTGTTACCCTGCTCTGTTCTAACTGCTGCCTCTTGGTCCAAGTATAGATTTCGCATTAGCACGATTAAATGTTCTGGGATTCCCATTCTTCTCAGAGTCAGCCACAATTTGTTATGATCCACACTGTCAAACACCTTTGCATAATCAATGAAACACAGATATACATTCTTCTGGTATTCCCTGCTTTCAGCTAAGATCCATCTAGCATCAGCTACAATATCCCTAGTACCACGACCCCTTCTAAACCCAGCCTGGACTTCTGGCAATTCTCTGCTGATGTGCTGTTCCAGTCATTTTTTGGATTATCTTCAGTAGAATCTTGGTTGCATGTGAAATCAATGGTATTGTTTTGTAGTTTCCATACTCTGTTGGGTCACCCTTCTTTGGAATGGGAACAAATATAGATCTCTTCCAGTCAGTTGGCCAAGTGGTTGTTCTCCAGATATCTTGGCACAACTTGGTGAGCACATCCAGGGCAGCATCTATTAGCTGAAATATGTCAATTGGTATACCATCTATTCCTGGGGCCTTATTTTTTGCTATTTCCTTCAAAGCAGCTTCAACTTCTTCCTTCATCACCATAGGCTCTTGCTCATGAAATTCTCTGTGTCTGCCAATTCCTTTTGATACAGTGACTCAGTATATTCCTTCCATCTTCTTTTAATACTTCCTGGATCATTTAATATTCTGCCTAAAGCATCCTTGATTATAGAAACTCTAGGTTTGAATTAGTTCTTCAGTTCCTTGGGTTAAGAAATGCTGTACGAGTTTGGCCCTTTTGATTTTCCAACTCCAGCACCTCGCACATTTCATTGTAATATTTTGCTTTGTCATTGCGAGCTGTCTTTTGGAATCTTCTGTTCAGCTCTTTAGTATCTTGAATTCTTCCTTGTGCTTTGGCTTCTCTAAGCTCCAGTGCAATTTTCAGAGTTTCCTCTGACATCCATTTTGGTCTTTTCTTCCTCTTCTGTCTTTGTAATGACCTTTTGCACTCTTCCTGGATGATATCTTTGACATCCTCCCACAACTCATTTGGTCTTCGCTCATTAGTGTTCAAGGCCTCAAACCTGTTCCTGAGATGATTCTGAAATTCAGGTGGTATGAAATCAAAGTCATATTTTGGCTCCTGTGGATTTGGTTCAATTTTCCTCAGTTTCAACTTGAATTTGCATATGAGTAGTTGGTAGTCTGTTCCACAATCAGCCCCCGGCCTAGTTTTCACAGCTGATATTGAGCTTCTCCAGCGATTTTTTCCACAGATGTAATCGATCTGATTCCTCTGCATACCATCAGGTGAAATCCATGTGTATAACCTGTGTTTATGTTTTTTATAAAACGTATTTGCAATGAATAAGTCATTGATTGTACAAAATTCAATCATTCTATCTCCAGCTTCATTTCTGTCACCAAGCCCTCTGAGGGAATACTATTTACCATTTGTTTTAAAACAAGGCAACATATGTGTCAGGGTTGTATAGTTTTACCACAACTGTCAATTGACGGTCAATTCATGGCTGCTGAAAATCAGAGCCAACTCATTGGCATCTAACAGCAGCAACAGTGTGCTCTGTATTTGAATGTTAGACCCTTATGACCTTGTCTTGCAGTCTTTTTCCATTTGGGGTTATGTTATCAGAGTGTGCCTTTTGTCTATCCATGTTTATCTTGCATCCTGCCATTCAAACAAATGAAAACCAAACTCACTGCATCCAGTTGATTCCAACTCCAAAGGTTATAATAGGAAAGAGTTGAACTGCCACCACAAAGTTTACAAGCCTATAAAGTTTTTCTAGGAAGAGATGACCAAGTCTTTCACTTGTGCATGACTGGCAAGTCAAACTGCCCACCTTTTGGTTAGCAACTTTACTCTTTCAAGGGCAGCACCCCCAGTCTTCCTCTAATCCTACCTAGTATAATTCTAGAACACAGTACTAAAATCTCTGGGATTTATGTTTCACTGTAATTCAGCAGCATCTAGGTCTTGGAAGGGCAATAAAAAAATAATATAATGTCCACTGATACGTAATTTCAAGCTATAATTACAGCTTTCTCTTTGATGATCTCTTCAATGCTATTAAACACACACACATATGCACCATACAACATAATTTTCACTTTATTCCTGAATGCTTTCTTTTTCTCTCCAGTCATGAGTTCTTTTAAGCTTCTGTGAAATTGCAGAGTTTTTGACTCATCTGAAAAAATATCCACCACACTTGAATGCATTATACTATTCACGCTTAGTTACTACTTGTCCTTTAGTCATGGCAGGGCTATGCAGCAGACTATTTATTACTTTATACAAGAATAATGTCCTTCACAGAGCACTCACTTGCACTTTGTTCTATTACAGTGTTTTTTCTTGTCAAATATATTTGAAGATTTTAGGACTGTATGTTCATCTTGTAGGGAATTCTTCCTCATCACCCAAAAAGTTGTGTTTCAGAGATGCTATTGATGAAAGCAAGCTTTACTGGCTAAAGTCGTTCATTGTCACTAGCTGAAAGTTGTTCCAGAGAGTGAAAATGAGTGACTCCTATGTGGCTTTCAAATTTCTTTCTAATAAAATTTTTATTTAATAGTGGTTTTTTATTCATAGGGTCAGTATGAGTCATGCTCAACTTGACAGCAATCAACAACTGGGTTAAATCCACCAGCAGCTCCACCAGAGAAAGAAGGCAGTTACTTCCTGTTGAAATGTACAGCCTCAAGAAACCACTGGAAGACTCCTAAAAGTCAAAACCAATTCAATGAATGGCAACTGTGCAAGATGCATGTGAGAATTAAATGGACTATCTACATGATTAATATACTCTATACAGCATATGAATCGTCTTCGGTACTCAATAAATGGCACTCAATGGTTGCTAAAAAAAACAAACAAACCAAAAACAAAAGTTCCCATGCATTGTTTTCTACAATAGATCTTTCCATTTTCCTTTAAACATTAGTGCTCATGTGTTTACAAGGGAAGCAAAATCACTCAAAAGATCTTAAACTGGATTGAAATGAGGATGAAACACATGACTTTTCTAATAATTAGCAGGCAAACATACTCTCTGAGCTCTTTAATCAGAAATAGGCCAAGAAATACACATTGGAAAACAAAGTTTCATATTTTTTAAAAAATATATTTACAACGAACAATAGTTTATACAAACTAGGCTCCACTTTTTGTTGATGAGAAAATGGTGACTAGTGGAGATCTTATGTTCTAATTCATGACTTGCCAACAGTCAGTCAGTGATGGGACAGGTCAGAACAGGCAGAGCTATGTGGTATCATGCAGATCCCTGCAGGAAATCCAGAGTCCACGGGAGTCAGACTGCTCAGCAATTTGAGATTTTTGAGCAAAATGGGGCCATGTTTAAACTTAGACAGTCTTAGACAAAAGCAGTAACACAGATGGCAGAGGTCCAGGGCTAAGGCATCAGAGACACTTCATGAAATGATAATGACCATGATGTGAATGTCAAGAGGCCAACTGAGAGAGTGTGTCCTTTTATAGGAGTAATTTCTTTGATAAATTCTTTCCTAATAAAGTTGTTTTAGCATGTGATCAGGAAAGACTAATTGTTAGAGAAGGACATTGTGCTTTCTAGAGAGTCAGTAAAGATAAGGACATTTCATTAAATGTATCAACATAGAACTTGCAAAAAAGAACTCAAGCATCAAAGATTATGAGAATGATACAGGATTGTGTGATGTTTTTCTCTTTTATATATAAGACCAAATGGCAACTAACAACAACAACAGCCCTTGGTTTGGGGTTCCCCTCTCCCCAGTATTCATTCGCAGATTTTTCCTCTACGTTGACATTGAGGAAATAATGAGTTTAAAGCAATTGTCTCAGGGAGAGGTATCTGCTGTAATCTGGCTCAGAAAAGGAAGCTGAAGGAAATGGCATAATAAATAGAATATACCTATACTTTGGAGTATTATGCAGTTAAGAAAGATGGAAGCAGAGTTGGTTAATCTCCTAGAACATAATTCTATCCTGCAAATAATAAAAATCAAAGAACAATCATAATATGAACCTAACTATGTAAAAACATCCAAACATGATAATTTCAGTTTTGGTTATAAATGAATTTAGACTATCTAGAATGGCTTCTTGTTGTTGTTGTTGTTGTTGTTGTTATTGTTGTTGTTGTTATGTGCCATCGAGTCGCCTGCAATTCATAGCGACCCTATGTACAACAGCCCTAAACTCCGCTCTGTCTTGTGCCAATCGCACTGTCTCTGACACTCCCATCCCAATTATCCCAGTCACTGAATCAATCCACCTCATAGAGGGCCTTCCTCTCTGTGCCGTCCCTCCACCCTCCCAAGCATGATGTCCCTCTTTAAGGACTGGTCTCTCCTCACAACATGTCCAAAGTAAGTTAGACAGAGACTCAGAATCCTTGCCTCCAAGGAGCCACCCGGGTTAACCCTCTCCAGGACAAATCTGTTTGTTTTCCTATCAGTCCATGGTATTCTCAATACTCTTCTCCAGCACCACAGCTCAAAGGCATCAATTCTCCTTCTATCCTCCTTGGTCATTGTCCAACTCTCTGATGCATAACAGGTGATTGCGGAGACCATGGCCTGTATCAGACACACCTTAGTCTCCAGAGAGACACCACTGCTCTTCAGCACTTTGGAGAGGTCCCTAACAGCAGACTTTCCCATGGCAATGCGCCTTTTAATTTCCTGGCTGCTGGTGCCAAGACTGTTGACTATGGAGCCAAGCAAACTAAAGCTGTGTACAATCTCAATCTCTTCACCATCCATCCTGATGCTGCCAATTGGTCCAGTGGTGAGAATCTTTGTCTTCTTTTTTTTTTTTTTGGAATGAAAGAAGTGTTAGCATTTATTGGTGGGTTCATGCCACCCTCGGGAATAAAAGGGAAACCAAAATTTTGCGACAGGGTATGCTGGTCAGGAGCTGAGTTGTCACTAGGTACTTGTGGGCTATCTGGCATAAAGCAAACAATACTTCCTCTCTTCTCAGCAGTGGGCTGTTGACGTCCAAGAATCATACTGCCACTGGTTGACAGAGGAAGATGGGGAAGACTTGGATCAAAGACATTGCTATGTCTTTGGTTTCCAGAACGATTCCTTTCAGGTTGACGAATTTTGGATCCACTGCTGTCTTGCAAGGGGTGCCTAGATCGCTGAGGAACTGAAGAATTGGCTTGACGTACAAGAAGCCCTTGATCAGCATTTCCATGAGACACAGATGGATGTGGCAAAGCTGGCCTTGCAACACCATGCATGTTGGTTGTAACTGGAGGGTTCATGTGTCCCTTCGTCCCATGACTGTCAGTAATCCTCATGGAATTGGATTTCTGTACAGACACGTTGGGGCTTGTGTTTCGACCTTGAATATCTCCTGAGGAAGAAGAACTTGAAAAAGGAATATTCAAAGTACTATTCCTGGAATTCATAGCATTTAAGGACATGTCACAACTTTCCCTATTCTGACTCTCATTCTCTCTTCTAATGTGGACACTTTCATGAGGTGGGGGACAATTATACTCAATTGCAGAGGGTGGGCCACACTGTGTATTCCTCTGGCTCCCAATGACCTGGTCACTGAGATGAGGGGCAAGTAAACTCTGCATGAAACTTTGGTGACACGTGTTGTCACTGTCCCTTGGTGGAAGAGCATTTCCTGTTGGAATGCTCTGAACTGGTGGATATGGTAATCTCTTTTGGCGGTCAATTGGTGGAGGACCGGTGTTTTGACTAATTCGGAAAGTCTGAGACTGCATACTCCTCAAAGATGATACAGGGTTACCTATTTCATTATTTCTTGATGATTGTACTTCAAAATTACTCTGGGCCTGTTGGCTGGCTCCACTTGGTTTAAATGTCTGGCAGTCAGGAAGGCGGATATCTGGGGCAACAGCATGGTCCACGCGGCCCTGCATGTTATGAATAGCTAAGCTCTTATTTCTGGGAACATCAAGGTAACTTCTCATTTCAAGCTGCTCTGAAACTCGAGAACCCTGAATTGATAAGCCCAATCTCTGCTCTGAATTAGAAGATGTCTTTCCAATGAGTGCCTCAGCGGAATAACTGGAAACTCTATTTCTCTCAGGCCTGTGTGGTGTACAAGTCATGTCTGATGGCCTTGTCACAATACTCGGTTGGGACACCATTTGTTGCTCCAGGCCTCTTGATGTCAAAAGTCTCTGCATTGTATTGTGCCCAGATACATGTTCCGAAGTAACCCCAGAACCTTGCTGTCTGCTTCCAACATCCTGCTGCTGGTGCATAATGTCTTGATTAAGGTGGTTCTGAGGATGGTTATGGTGGCTTTGGCTTGTTGAAGGGTTTTCACAGCTCTTCTCAGGCTGGGAATTTCCAAAGTGTTGTTGCATCTGTTGCTGAATTTGTTGATGGTGGGGATGAGGCCGGCCACTCTTGGGTCGGGCTGGGTCAGTTCCATGGTGCTTCGGTTGTAAGGAAAGCTGAGAGGCTTGAGTGCCTTGAACAAGATTTCTCTTTTTCTGCATCTGAACTTCCTGTTGCAGAGTTCTTTGCTGATGAACATTATGGGGCTGAGAGTGGACAGAGCCCTCTGCATGAGGGACATGATGTTGCAGTTGATACAAGTGATGTCTCTCTCTTAACTGTCCCACTTGCTGCTGCTGCTTTAAGTAGAGATGGTTACTATGGAGGTGAGATACCCCTTGAGCTGGAACATGTTGCTGTAGGGCCTGGAGATGTTGGCTGGCCTGGGTTTGCTGCTGCTCGGCCACAGAAGGCTGGGAACCACACTGAACTTCAGTCTGCCTTAATGCAGGGCTCACAAAGTTGTTAGCAGGAGGAAATAATCTCGTAAGGCCATCTCCATGTGTGGGATTGCTTACAGGCACAATGGAATTGGAAGAGCTGGGAGGGATCTGACTGACCATTATTTGAGTCTGATCAGAAATATTGTCTGGAGTTCGGCTCATCATGGACATATTTTCAAGTCTGAGTGGAGCTGGCTGACACTGCTTCTGACGTTTCGCAGAGGAAAGCAAAAGGTCGTCCTGGACAGCACGCTTAGCAGACTCTTTCCGGCTTTCGTGACTTGGCTTTAAGAGTGGTTCCTGAATCTGTGGATTTGGGATGTTACTGGTCATAGGATTTAGCTGTTCTTGGGCATAGTCGGTCATCAGGGATGGCCCAGGAGGCTGATTGCCGTAAGAGTCAGAT